TTAAAATGTTATATAAGTTTATAAATTTATAATTAAAATATGTTATAAATAAATAAATGTATATAGTTATAGATGGATATTTGAATAAAAAAAATAATTATATAATAATATATTATATTATAAATTTACAATATCACATGATATTATGATTATATTATTGTTGGACAAAAAAACTAGAGAAACAAGAAAAAGATAATCAAATACCTCAAAGGGAAGCAAGACTGTGGGAGCAAGAGGGAATTGAAGAAAATTTTGCAACATTGTCGTAAGATACAGAGCATGATATATTCATTAAAAATTGCACTTTCACAATAAAAATCTACAATCAAGTACATGGATATGCATGTTCAAGAAAAAGTACATGGATATAGCCAATTTATAAATTATGATGAATATTTTTAAAAAGTAAAAGGAAAAGAAAAGAATGCACAATGCATAAAGTAATTAGATAGAGACAAAGAGAAAGTCTTATGAAAGAATTTTTAACTAACAACAAAACGTAAAACTTACATTATAAAAAAAATAAATGAAGGAATGAGAAGAGTTTAGTTCTAATAATTTTAAGGTAGTTAAGAATTTTAAAAATTGCTTTTACAATTTTCTTTTAAGAAATGACTGTTTTATATGATTAGTTTTTTTTTTTTTAAGAATAATCAGGTAGATAAAAAGAAAACACCCAAGTTCATTTCCATTATTTTAAATAAACTTTTTAGAATGGTACTTTGAAAATCTTTCATAAAAAACTTATATATTAAATTTTTTTCAAAAGGCTCGGGATCCATGGCTCTCCTTGGCCTTGGGATCCTCCGTCCATGGCAGATCTCCTGGGATTTCCTTAGACATGGGCTGTCACCTAGGGGTTTGTGTAGCTGTCCTGCCATCGAATTTTCTTCTTCAATTTTGATTTTCAATAAGGTTTTTTTTTTTTTTTTTTTTTTTTTTTTTTTTTTTCGGATTTCTAATGAAAGTTTTGTAATAATTATTATATTTATACTATATATAGTGTTTATTAATAGTCTAACTCATTAAATTTAAAAATAATAACTTCTCAACAATAATTAAAAAGTGTTATATAACAAGAAGTTAATGTTGTCTTCTATTAATGCTTTTAAGGATTGCATAAGTATTAGAGATCCTATATTTATTAAAAAACATAAGATAGATTCTAGTAAAATTAAATATGACACATATTATTTTCTTTAAATTATTTATTTGCTCTATTTTAAAATAATTATTTTGTATTTTAATTTTATTTCAAATAAATTGTTATTTTTTAATTTTTTAAGATAAATAAATACTTTTTTCTTACTTTAATTTTATTATTTTCCATATACTTTGATTAATTATTCTAACAAAAAAATCTCATTTTATCATTAACTTTTTTTAAAGTAATGTCGATAAATATATAAATTACCTCAAATTTTTTAATTTAAAAAATAAAGAAAACAGTTATTTTAGACTTGAGAGTATGTGCATTGTTCAAAATTTATGTTGAAAATGTCATTTTCATTTACTTAAAAAAATAATAATAAAGTCAATAACCGACAGCTAGCGTTGATTTTGGTTATGTTCTGTCGAAAATTCTCTTTCTTTTAGCAACTGGTAATCTTAATATGCGAGCAGAGTCAAAGACGAAGACGAAGACGACAACTACTTTGCACGAATACAACGTTCAATCAGCTGTAATATTTTCTAACAGATTTCACAACTATGGAGTAACTTAGCCAGTGTCAAGACAACGCGCCTTTTTTTTTTTTTTTTTAATTTATTTAAGATAAAGACAAGGTCTTTCTAGATTCTTAGTCAATTGCAGTCATCCTGCGCAATTGAAGAAAGCAGTGTTTCACCTTCTTACTTATACACCAAACCCCAGCAGTTGCCATTTAATATGTTGTCCCCCTTAATCGGAATGGTCAAACTTAAAATTTTTTAAATATGAGGATAAGAGGGGAAAAAAAAACAAAACCAAAAAAGAAAGTAAAGAAAATGAAAGAGAGTTATTTTTAGGTCCAACCAAACCTAGTCTTCTAATTTCTTCAGTTTCATTTTTTTCAATTGGAGTATCCCTCGATCAATCATTGCGAATTAATTTATTTTAAAACAATTTCAAAGATGCACCAAGTACATCAACTTAGTGTGTAAAGCTTACATTAAAAATTATCAAAAAAAATATAGGTTATAAAATATAAGAAATACTTCTTTATTTATTATCAATTAGTTATATATTTATACATGTGAAATTAGTATTTATCCACCTTTTAGTTTTTTTAATAA